TTGTTAAGCTCAAATATTTAACGATGCGATGGGGACAATTTCTACGGATATTTTATTTGCCGTAGAACTCGTCATGAGCTTATTTAATCATTAACTGAAGAATTAGGATTCATCAGAAATTTCAAATATGGAAACCGTGAAATTTTTACGGATATTTCTAGTGATTTTATTGATATAATAATAATTCTTTTTTATTTGTCATTATTATCATTATTTATTTATTGATGAACGCGATTAGAACGTTCGCTTCCCGACCATGAGACCCGGGTTCGAACCTCCCCGTGGTCGATTTGTCAGAAAGGTGGCTTCTTGATTTGGGGAAGCAATCACAGCGTGCGGTATCTTTGGAAAGTGCCTGAAAACCATACCACGGGTTGACCCAAGCCTTGCAAGTGAGTGAAATCGGATAGGCGAAACTATTCGGGAGTCGTCGATGGTTGTGCTAACACGAAATCACAAGTATGGCTTGAACGTACTGGCCTTCTTCAGACTATTGATCACGCCAGATGACACGCTCTCTATCAGGAACTGTAACTGAGGCCCGCTCAGCGTATTTGCAGTATAAACTATAGCTGGTCTCTGTGGGTACTGAACAAATACAAATGTGCCAGAGTAGGCATCTGCAACAGGGATTGGTCAGCCACCTTAGTAGACAGGCATAATCGAAAAATAACCAACAGGATAATGATAGAGACTATTAAAGTTCTTCAGAGATCCAAAAGTAGTCTTCAATACTTACACCGACTTTAATTATATTGTTTCTGTTATATTTGTCGATACTGTGTATATTTCACGCTAGCTTTCACTCTAATTTTCTGCTGTATAACTTCAGAAGCGAAGTATTTCAAAACCCCAAAGCTTTTTCCACTGTAACTGTTCTATGTGCGCTTGTCTGTGACTGATCCTTGAACGCTTGATATTAAATAATCCATGTTAGCTTGTCTGTGGCAGATCACTAGGCGCTTGTTTGTAACAGGTCGCTTATCAGTAACTGATCCGTGAGCGCTTGTTTGTAACTGATCCCTGCTTGCTTGTCTGTAACTGATCTCTCTTGAATGTATTCAGGCAGTTTTCCTTTGTCTTCAGTCAAAACGATGTACTTTCGTCTTTCTTGAAGATTTTTTTCTTCGACTAATCAGACTCGTATCCTGATTTGATCCCCAATATTTCACTAGCATCAAAATCGATCTCCGTTAACTAAAAAGGTTTAAGTACCTAAAGTTAACCTTCTGCTACTTAAAAAAAATTATCTGGGGGATCATATTTCCTATCTAGCAATATTATGTTTTCCTTCATGGTCAACACCAACTTAACCACAAGTAAAACTAGTCTGGGAAAACCCTTTTAATAACCATTGTTCCACAAACAAATACAAAGGGATACGAAAAAGGTTCTCGGTTCGATTAAGAAGCACTTTCACCAAAATATGGTGCTTTGTATCAAATTTTGGGAAGTCGAACAGAAAATTCTCCCCCCCCCCAATCGTATATACCAAACTTACTTTAGCCCTACCGCCAGGTCAGAAGCGCTAGGTATCCACTGAGATCGAACTCACTACCACTGTCATTAGTACCTAACATACTAACCATTAATCTACCTAGTATGATCAGCTTGGGCTACTTTTGAAAGTGCAAATTTCGAATATCCCTACTTCCGAATTTCATGGTTACTATTTTTTCTTTTTTTTTAATCATTTGAACCCAAGGAAGGCAATAAAGACACTAAGATGTATTCTGTAAAAAGTACTATTTTTCTGCCATACTCTTCTACTACAATTATTGTTATTTACTTTACGTTTGTGCTTATGCTTCATACAAATGTTATGACGAAAACCAGAAACTCCTGGCCGTGATATTCAGAATGTCACTTAATTAATCCTGAATGTCACTTTTTTACATATTACGGAAATCATTTTGTGTGCCGTTCAAACATCCCATGGTATTAATGTACACCATGTTATCGACGAAGGATTAATAAAATAAACTAAATTAACTTGGGTAGTTGATTTATTTACAAATTTAGTAACTTTGGACTTACAAATGTCGCTACTTGTAATTTAATCTGGCAACTCACATTCCACATAGTGTTGGTGCTAAAATTGCAAACGTGACACTTATTTCATTTTTCACAAATCTGTTGTGTCACTAGATACATATGTAAATAGTCGTGTAAATAAAAGTTCTCATGGGTTTATTTTAAAAACAAATTATAAGCTGATGTTTCGAGATTAAACTAGTTCGAATAAATCTTGCTATAAAGCAATTTATTCGGGCTAGTCGAATCAATATTGCTCTTAATACAACGTTTTGCCAGATCCTTTATTCGAAATTTTGTTCGATAACCGATTTGTTCGACATGTGAGACGTTCAAGAACCAAGGTTGCCCTGAAGAATAAATAAGAAACAATTCCTCTTTTCTTTTCAGGTATAAAACGTCTTTGGATCAGCAAAAGAAAGCCATCTCTTCTGTAAGTCGTTTTTTTTTTTTTTTTTTTATTCCAAATGATAAACGTTTTTATTATTTTCAACATTTGATGATCTTCTAATTTCTTCATGCTTATCAAGATATTCTTAAGCGCCTAAATAGCCGGGGGGGAGGCGACTTTCTAATGAGATTTTCTGACTTTTGAGGATTCTGTAAAATTTGGGTTTCTACATTTTAAATGAAAAAAAAGTGGACAGAGAGAGAAAAAAAGAAAAACTTCATCCTAAATATCTCTTTCTTCTATTCCCTGCTTTTAGCCCCACCCTTGTAGGATGTGAGGTTTGACTGTACCAAAATATATTCTATCACTTTTAAAGACTTCATCTACCCAAGAAGCGACCATCTCGACTTTTGGTCATGTTTTTAATGATTTTATGATACCCTCTTTTATTAAGAACCCCCCCACACACACACACACACACACACCTTGTATTAGTTGAGTGACAAATTGACTTAACGATCTCAGTCGGAATCATAAAATCCTTGTGAATTCCATGATTCTTTTGTTAACTGTATAGTATGTTTCGCCGGGGCTACATACAGTTTTTGAATTTACACTTCCGAAATATTTAAAATACATGGGTGGATTATCAGATATAAAGAACACGCGTGAATAGATTTAGAGAAATGGTTCCCGCTTATATTTCTTCCGTCACGATCCCTGGTTTTTCTTAAGCCCATCCCAATTTTAAGTTTTCATCGTTTCCCCATAATATCTATGCTTTATGAATATAATTGAAATTCCTCGCGAATTCCTTCCCTGATTAAAACTCTTCCTGTTAGATTTGAAGTTTTCCCACTAGTGCCACCCGATTAAGAATCCATTGTAAATGTTTTTATAGAAATTTCGCGGTTTTAATATCTTCGTGCCTAAACAGTAATTGAGCAGCAGTTAACATAATCTGCACTTTTTACAATATTTATTGATTTTCTTCTTATTTTAATTACTGAACTCTTTCGGTGGGAAAGGTATTCGAGGACCCATTTGAAGACATCTTTTATCTTCAATGAAAAACATCTTTCAAACAAATAAATTTATTAATACAATATTTATTGTCCTCAAATAACTTATGCACCCTGTAAACTGAACTGGGAAGTGAAGAGATAGATTCATACCTTTTCGAAGGGTATTTGGGCGAAAATGAATGTAATAAAACTCGACTGGAATTCGAACTCGGCTTTACTGTTTCCATTCTGAGCCTCTATCTGTTGCAGCATCCACACATCTGCATTTTATTCGACACGTATAATTTAGACACTTTAATTTATATCGATATATTTTCTTTTTGCGGGTGATTTTCCACCCTACAACTCTTACCCCACAGACTAAGCGACGCTAGTTTCTTTCTCGTTTCTCTATTGCTATGTCCATCGCATGTGCTCTGACGAGCTACATTCATTGGTTCCACCAGGACCGATCTTTGCAACTGGAATCCGTCATGTCACGTACTTCGTATTCCATTAGTAATAAGTTCCACCAGAACAGCTTCTTCCCAAGAACTGCTGCTTTGTGGTACAGACTCCTAGCAGAATGTTTTTACAATCTTGACCTCTTCAAGCCTGGGGTTCAATGTTATCTTTTCTACATAACTTCATGGACTTCACTTTTCACCTTTTATTACACCGCGCAGTAATCTATATCGAGTGGCTTTGGAGCCTTGTATTAGGTGAAAATTAGTACTAAAAATATCAATTGTTGTCATCAATTACACGTTTTGAAACAAATTATCTCAGCATAATAACTCCAGGATGGACCAAATGGGGAGCATGATGAGGTAAAAGATTTTATTGCACCAATCTTGCAATGTCTGACTGCCTTGAAAATCAGTGTACCAAATCCTTGTTTTTAGCTAATCCCGAATACAGACCTTTGACTCTAATTTGAAATATGCAACTAGCAGCTTCATCCATCATCATTTATGGGCTGTGTATTTTTAAGACACAAGCAATAATGGCCCTCCATAACTTCCTTCTCTTGTTGCTTTTAGTAACGTTTGATCTTCACCATTCTTTCTTGGCCCCACTCTGCATCCCTTCACACACTCAGGCAAGTTGCTCACTGTTTTTCTTTACTTTTTCTTCCCTCAATACGTCCGGTGAGTATTAAATTTTCAAAGTTATCCTTTCTTATAATGTGTCCCAGAAAATTTAAATTTTCTCTTTCTTATTGTAAATATAGGTTTCTTTCTAAGTTTCATTTTCTTCACGGCTAGATAATGAGCATGATTTTTATAAATCTTAGCGTAATCGCGTACAACACATTGCACTAACTTTGCCAAATGGGAGAGGTCCTCCCTGCCTTGAAAATCAGCATTCAAAATCTTGATTTCTTCTCTAGCGCTAGTGAAAAATGTGTGACGACGCTTTCGCAATATATATCATATATTATGCTTTTGAAAATGTTATAATTTTTTTTTTTTGGCTTTTGAAATAATTTTTTAAGCTTTTGAAATGTTATAATTTTTATCATATCTGACTGACAGTTACTACACCTTGCTCAAGAGTGAACCGGGACTATGTACGGCGGAAAAGTTCTACTGTCTTACACTTTGCATATTCACCATATAAGCGATCATCCATTTCTCTATGTATCGTATATTTTGTATAATTTGATAAAAAAAGAAGTCAAATTCCTTGCCTTTTGATCCTGAGGAACAACATTCGACAATTCTCACCTCCAAACACTTTGCATTTGCTTTCAAAGTTCTTATAAATGAAAGCTCTTTGAGGTTCAAATTCTTTGAGGTTCAAATTCACTATCTATGGTAAATGAGCGCAGTAGGTTAGATAGTATTTTAAGGCTTATTACTTTTCATATTTACACTCAGCCGTTCTGTTAAAACAGGAACGGTTAGTCAATAAATCAAACAGTACTAAAAAGGAAAACGACCCCACCCAGTTTATAAGGTAAAACATTTGCATAGAGTTGATTTGTTCGTTTGTTTCACGAAATGTTGTTCCTCATATATGCATAGCTGTGTGGCCTTCAATGTTAAATGCCAACACAGTTGAATAAAACATTCATTATTTTTCTTTTTTCTTTTATTCTTCGTTTTTTTTTTGTTTGTTTGTTTTTTTGTTGTTTTTTTTTACACAGAGTCTGTCAATCACACGACAATAAATCTTCTTTATTATTTGTTTGGTTTTTATTTCTCTAAAAAACAATAAATTCTACTTTATTCTTTCATTTGAAGGTTTCTTTTTTTTCTATTTTGGTTTCGTTTTTTATATCGTCTGTCTCACTCTTTCACATTCTCTCTCTCTCTCTCTCTCTCTCTCTCTCTCTCTCTCTTTCAAACTATCTATTTATCTACTTTCTCTTTCTATCTCTCTCCTTCTGTCTCTTTATCTTCCTTTCTCCCTCTTCCACCTATTTCCTTGTTTGCCTATTTATATCCTACCCTCCAACTACTCTCCCATATTCTATTTCAGTATATCTTGCCTTACCCCTGCTTTCTCCCTTTCATTTACTCTCTATCTTTCTTTCTCTCTCTATCTTGTTTATCTCTTCCTTCCATCTATTCTTTCTCTCTCCCTTATTTTTCACCTACTTTCCCTCTTTTATCTATTCTCTCTTTCTCTTCCCTTTTCCACTTTATCCTACCAATTCACACTATCTCTCTCTACTTCCCTCTATCTCTCTTCCTCGTATTTTCTATCTTTTTCCCTCATTCTCGCTCTATCTCCCTTACCTATTTATCAGACCCTTGCTTTCTTTCTCTCTTTCTCTCTCTCTCTCTCTTTCTCCTTTCTCCCTCTTCCTTTCTTGTACGTCATAAAACGTTTCACCTTTTACTAATATTGTGTACGCTCAATTAAAAATACGAATCTACGTTTTGTTAATATATTTTATTCTTAGATTTTCAAATCTTCGTTGAACTTAAAGCTATAAGCTTTTGTTTCAAGCTTATTTCTTTCATCTTATTTCCATTGCTTTATAACTAATAATACACTTGTTTGTAGTTTGGGGCTGATGAACTAATGTCAAAATTTGCGTTTTGACGTTTACAACGATGTATGTCCATTTTCAGGATTCTTGTAGATAAGTCTGTCCACTCTATATTTGTGTTAAATAGAAACTTCATTTGTTACTTTAATAAGAAACAAAAACTTATTTTCCATCTATGCTGTCTTTTTCTTCGCGAAGATAAATACAAGAAAAGGAAAAGAAGGATATACGAAGGAGAAAAACGTGTTTTTCTCCAAGTCTCTCGTGTTTTCTCTTCTTTTTCTTTTTCTCCCTTTCTTTTGTACCCTTTCTATTATTATTACTAGGTGCGGTACAAAGTCAACTTGGGTAAAGTTAGGAATTAGAAAGATCATGTTGCGCCAATATTCCTAATGGAAATTTTTCACTTGCTTCGAAAAACAACATTCTAGTTTATTTTCACTTCGGTTCCAATAACGACCTCTACACAAATAGCCCATAATAAGGAAAGAAGGCATCGGAAACTTAATACTCACAAGATAAGGCAAGATAAGAAAGGGAAAACTGAGTGTAACCTACTTAACGAGTTTGAATAAATGGATAGCAAAACAAAAAGGAATAGTAAAGGGATTAGAGTTACTCAGAGAAAAAGAAAGAGGAAGTTGTAGAGAGCCATGACAACCCAAGACATCCGAAAGAACATCGCATATGAAAGAGGAACATGAATGGAAAATACGTTCTCCAACAATCTATAATCATTTAACGAATTAAGCTTAATATGGATGGATGTACGGGTTAAAAAAAAAAGAATTATTCTTACAATCCAAAGCATGTTTCGGCTTTAAATATCACACAAATGAGTGATAAACAGTAAAAAACAAATCAATATGCGAATAGTGTATCTGCTATCGACGAAAATGGAATCAGCGAGCCGAGTTCAAATTCCCACCTAGTCTGTTGCATTCACACTCGCATTATTGCCATAGGAAAAAAGCATGAATACATCTCTCCCAGCTATCATTTACATTGCAAGGAAGACTGGTCTCTCAAACTTTGGATTGTAACAAGTCTGAGAAATGGACAACACTGAATTCGAAACCGTAGAGAACGCAACGTGAAAGTGCTCCACTATATTTTCCAAGAAATCATTGTAATTCACAGATAATAAAGGAACGGAATCTGCGGAGAGCCATGGCATTAATTAAAAAAAATGATTAGTCTGACATTAATCCACACTAGTCGTCTGCGAGGATCGAACTTACTGGGTTAGCGAAACAGCCCGCTCAACTAAATCATAGCACCACCTTAACCGGACCATTTCATTCTTTCTCTCATATGGTTTCTCTTTCTTGGACATTTTTGTTTTATTTTATTCTTAAATTTCGCTATTTGTCTTTTTGCGTTTTCAAAGCGAAATTTTTCTCAAATTCAGAAATCTTGATTTAATTCTAAACTCCGCTCTTGACACGATGTTGACTTACATTTCTTCATAGCTGGACATTAAACCCTGACAGTAAAGGTTCCAAAAAACAAACAAACAAAAAAAATCAAAATATATTCTTATGTAGATTCGCATATCTTTGTAGATATTTGAGTATCTACTATCCCAAAGTTTTTGCCAATAACATATTTCTTATCTACGTGTTAGTGAAGGGACGAGGTGATAAATCATTTTCTAAGAAAGCCATAATTGTCGGCGTTTGTCTAAAACTAAGAAAGAAACTTTCCCTGCGTAGCTACTGCGTTGCCAATGCACGGATCCGGTGTCCAGTTATTATGACAAACATAAACTTAAGTTATGTCGTTTATTTTAAATTCTGATTTCTGCGCCTGGCCTAGAGTAAACTAACCTCCCCGATCATTGCGTGGGAATTTGACTTTCACAGGAGTGCCATATAATTCGCACCTTTACTAAGCTAAGTCGGACACCCTAATTTTTTAATGTTTAAATAGTTTCATTGCCACACGTCACAAGTTAACAAGCTACTATCTAACTATCATGCTGTCATTCCTCTGTTATAATCACGATCTTTACTAGGTGCTCAATGCTGTCTTTGTGCCAGACAATGTTAACTATAATAAATAAGTGCTGTAGTGAAATCGTCGGTGTTTACTCCATATTCATGACCTTGTACCAGATGAAGCTAAGTTTAGTAAATAATTGGGCGTCACGGCCTAGCGCTATGATTAGTAAAAACTCGTCTCTCAGACCATTTTTAATACAATGACTTCTAGATTTACTTAACACCCCACAGTTTTGATCTAAAAAGGAAGGTTTTGTTAGAAAATTTGTTGATATTAGGCAATAGCTTCGATTTTTAAATTTCCAAATTTAACGTGGAAAAATGAATATCTCTATAATTATTTAATTTTTGTGTCGGAGGTTTCGTTGTGACCGTCTCTTCTACTCCACTTCTACTTGTCAGTCGTTCACTTCTGAACCGACTGTTCGGTTGTACTCTCTTCCTACGGACGGGAGGAACCCGAAGGAGGCTACGCCGAAGGGCGGAGTCTCCTTCGGGGAGGTAGACCGGCCCTGAACCCGTTTATACGGGTTCAATGGGCATATTTTTGGACGAGCCTACGGGCTCGGAATGCCTACGTTAAAAAGGCCTTGTGCCACATGACACCCTCGTGGGGGGGGGGTGACTGAATATCGTCTCTTCTACTCCAATAGCTTCATGACTCGCACCCCCCGTCTGTGGAATTCCCTTTCTATTACTTGTTTCCCTGATAGCTATAATCTCAAACTATTCAAATGTAATGTCAATCGACATCTCCAGATGCCCTGATCTAATTGCTCATCCTTCTTTTCATCCTTTCCTTCATCACGCCTCTTTACTCTTGCTCCCAATCTCTGTAACCCCTTACGTGCTAGTGGCATCCCGCCTTGCTTGGGGGTTTTAAATGCTTATTTTTATATATATATATATATATATATATATATATATATATATATATATAGTTACACGTGAGGTATGATGAGAGCCTGAGTTCCAATAAACGATTCAATGCACGGACAAATGGGATACTTATAAATGTACAAGACAGATTCGGGTGAAAAAATGTCTAGCATGACACAACGAACCAAATCTCTTGGCAGCAGACTCAGCAATTGACAGATTACTATATAAGAATTATTTTTCTATTCCTAGTTTGTTTTTTGTTTTTTTGTTGTTGTTGTTGTTGTTTTGTTTTGTTTTTTTAATCGAGTTCACCGCAAGGTGGTAAAGTCACAAGGGGTTACTGGGTGTGGAAGAATTAGAAAACAGAAACATTACTAAGAAGCGAGAACAATAGAATAGTAATCAGGTGGACAGTAAATAGCGATTGACCTTACATTTAAATTTTTGAAGATTAATTTTGACTGGAAAGCATGGAACCGGAAAAGAGTTTCACAATCGATAAGTGCGAGAAAAGAAACTGTTAGCATAGAACTTACGGTTACATCCAGGGAAATCAATTGTAAATTGGTGAGACCTCGTCACCAGTCTAGTACAGCGCTTAACTTCAAAAAGTTTAGGTACCATGGTGAAACAGCTGCAATGAAAGTATTTATATATAAAAAAAAAAAAAAAAGGCCACAGTGGCAATTTAACTTTGGCGAAAAAGTGACTGAAGCCAAGACGCCAGATCAGGACTAATAATATTGCTGATTCTTCTTTGGATTTTATCGATGATCTCTAGCAAGCAATATTCTAAGCATGGACAAATGGTAGACTAATAGATATGTAAGATAGATTCTGGAGAGAAAAAATGTCTATCACAACACAGTGAACCAACTTTCTTAGCAGCTGACCTAGCAATGGATTCAATATGGTCTTTCCACTTCATGTCAGAACGAGAACGTTAGCGAGATGACGCAAAGAATTACTCTCCTGGAGGTTAGAATCAGCCATGCTGATGGAAGGCAGATAGGAGATTCTCAAATGATTAATAGAGAGCAGCTTAATTTTGGAGACATTAAAATTAACAAGACATCCTTTAATTAACAAGCGACTGGGGGTCCTTTTTGACCTCAGCCGCTAATTTGACCTTATCAAACTGATCAGACTTACTATCGAGACAGGAGTAAATGGTTGTGTCATCAGCGTAGATACCAAGTTGAGTGCTGATGCTATCGGGAAGGTCGTTAATGAAAATTAAAAACGAAGCAAGACCAAAGATAGAGCCCTGGAGGACAGCTCTGCATTAGTACAAAAGGATCTAGAAGAGTGGCTGTTACACTGTTCGCAATAAATTAAGGATTTTATTATGGGTTTATTCTCTCTGTTTACTCTTGCCTACACTCTAAAGTTATTGTTTATTTTACACAAAATTGACACTATAATCGAAGACAAGTATAGCGGTAGTGGCAGCATATTTACAATTATTCGAGAAAATAAACCTCCGAAAATTTAGGTAAAATGTTTAACTGCAATTTATGAACATTTTTAATGTTTTTTTGTATATAAATGTGCACTTCTTATTAAAAAGTCTAATATTTAATCGAGTTGGAATTTTTAGTTGAAGTTTTGTACTTATACGTTTTCAGGAAAAAAAAGCTTTTTGAATTTATTGAAACCAAAGCTGAAAATTCTCTTTTTATTACATATAAGCAAACAAATAATAATAATAATTTGTAATTACTGAATTTAAATAAATAATCCGCTATTTCCATTATTTTATATAATTAAATAATATAAATGGATAAATAATTTCCATTTTTGAATAACTATAGTAAATATAATAATATATGAATAAATATAATTAGTAAATACAATTAATGAGTAAAAGTTTTTCAGGTTATATGATTTTTCTATTATTTTATATAAAATAGGCGCCAACTTGTAAGGCTGCTCACGTCATACA